CGCTCCGTCGCAATGTAGGTGGGATATGTAGAACTGGCGCTGTCGCAAGCATGTGAACGGTGATCCTCATCATTGTGAGCGCGATGTTCTCACTCCGTTTTGCTCAGTACTATCTATCGTACAATGTAAAAAGTAAGTTATTGGTTGAGATGTGGAGTAGCGTACATCGACGGGTTACCGATCTACCAGCACTCCATATCGGTCGAATTTCTAAAATTCCTTAAAACTTTGCTAAACTTCACGAAATGGCTAGTTAAGTGAATTGCGATTCACCCCTCAAGGGGCAAGAGCAATAGCGTGTAAAGCTGGGATCCCTGGAAATTGCAACAAAAGAAACTACAAACAAGTCAAGGCATCGACTCTGTGAAAGTGAAACGCCCAGGAAACGAGCTGCACTAGCTCTCTCGAAGCTTCCCTCAGGCTAAGCAACTTTATGGGTAGAAACTACAATGGGAGATTCATTTGTTTTGGTAACCAATGGTTCCCATATATGCAGTCGTTGTGGACAATAGGCTCCATAAAGCAGACTTGGATAGATCCGACGTATTCTAGAAGGCGGTGACTGCATCAGAAACCACATCTTGCGTATCTTGGCTGAACATAATGTAGGGTTTTGAGGTGGCTAAAGGACTCCGCTCAATCTATGCTCTTTCAAAGGTAATCCTGAGGCTGCATCAAAGGGGTTCGGTAAGGAGGTTCCTGAAAGTACTGACGCAATTGAAGCAGAAGCTGTCGATCACATCAGGTACCATTCCGGCATCCTTCCTCCCTCTTCCTTTCCGCTAACCTACCCTATTTCAGATACACCTGTTCCCAAGCTCAAATATCGTCATTCAGTGCAACTGTGTGAGTATTACGCTGGTCATCTCAAGTAAAATGTTCTTCGAGAAAAGTCCCAAGAAAGGGATATGGCACCGTATTTTCACACGGAGAGCGTTTGTTTGGAAGAGGGTGGTTTGAAGCGCATTTCTGGAAAAAACAAATTGAGCTGTAGAAAGCGGGAGCTGACTAATAAACACGAACAACGTTAAGACAAGCGCGCCTCGTTAACTGGAATTTCGAACCTCCATGGAAAAGAACAGCTGCAATCGAATTTTAGCTCCATCGAATAGAATACTTACGTTCAAGCTCACGACAACTAACAGTACAATATACGGCATTTTTTGAAATGAGGGCTATCTTGCTGGTGGATGCATCTGCAAGGGAGCTGTAGATACGGTATTAGAAACAGGGCGTCATACGATCTCTGGAAGGAGCTCAAAAACGAAGAGAATGAGGAACGGCAGAGAAGTCTTATAAATTTTGAGCACTTAATTGATGTTACAGAAAGCACCACTTTATCCATGAGCTCTGTGTTGATGAAAACTGCCAATTTAGGGACCACCGAAACACAATAAAATTGCTTTGTTCGGGAAAGAAAGATTTAAATATCGCAAAACTGCTGCAGAATTATTCTATTATAACAGCGTGGTCCTCGGAAAGTAGAAATGGATTTTCCATTTCCGGTTCACTAAACAATCTGTATATTATCAACGAAAAGATCTACTGAAAAACGTATTACATCTTCTCGTTGACAGCGAACAAATAAATAATTTTAGTCATATCAAAGTAAGAAGTGTCAGATCCGAATTGACATTTTCAGAACTACAGACGACACAGATCGGAGTAAGGGGAGCGTAACATATGTTAGCCATGTGTATCTTAGAGGTGCAAAACCACTTATCAATCATTTCTAACTTTAGCCCGGATCAACAAAAATTAGATCCACGAACAAACGGATCCTGCAGGCCTGCACACCCATTCCTGCACTAGGGATACTATAGCATATTTGATTGCAAGAACCTTCACAGAAGACTTGTTGAGAAGACTTAGCCGCGGATTTCAATTACTTTTTCAATTCCAAATCGATCTCCCAACTCAGATGATTTTCCCAGTAAAAAAGCCGAAAGGATTTTTAAACTTTCAAAACTTTAACAGTTCAGCACTAATGTTGTTCCCGAGCAGAGTTGATAAAAACATGAAAATATTCAAAGAGTTCTTGATACGAACAAGCTCACTATATGAAGTGCGTTGGCTAACTCTGCTAAGGTCTCGTAAGTGAATTAGCGAATTCCTAACTTACACATTCATTAGAGATCACTCCAGATGAACGTCGTAGGTCGACTGATGAGTAATAGAAAAATTAAATCCAGAAAAATTACCTGAAATCATGCGCACAACATCCAAGTGATTGCTGCTCGTTACCGGCATGCCGTTTACCTGAAAAGCATGCAATATAGTCACGTCTTGTTGTTGTTTTGCTTATGTGAAGCCATTTTTTCAGTGGTAGAAGCGTGGGAGGTGAGGTCCACTCGTGCAAGCGCTCCCGCTGCAGCACTCGTTGGCGTAGAACCATGAACTTAGCAAAAGCATACGTATTATGGACTGGTTGATTCATAGCTTCCAGAATGCTCTTTCTGTTCTGCCAATTCCAAGCAAATGTCAGGTTTCCATCAGAGAGAACATCGGCCATATGGATCCTATCTATGATGGAGCACTCAATATGAAGGCGAGGAATGTATTCACGTAAATCTCCCTTAGTGCTGACCTAAAGATCCATCAGAAATTTCTACGTTCCTTAGTTACTACCAGGGTCGGTCCTATCCTTGGGACGTTTTCCAAAATTTTTACGAGCCCCCTCCTACATGACAGATTTCATACGGCCCCTTCTTCACAGCCTATTTTTCCCTCGAAAATCACCGTCAAGCGGGGTTTTATACGCACGCTGCAACGGCAATTTTCTCCCGCGCGCTCTCACATCATCACATGTAATTTCGTGGTACCGCAGCAAGTACGACCCCCACCACAAACTTCAACAAACCGGCCTCCCCCGTTGGTAAGGGTTGATCCTGGTTACTACTCAAATGAATATTAGATTCAAGGCAGCAGGCAAAACACTTCATATTAGCCTACAATCTTGTAGATAAAGTAGTTCTATTTTTGCAAAAAAAAACAGGAAGGACATATACACGCCGCATTTTTCGGCAATAAATAATTTTTTCAAATTTTTACTTTTCCATTTTGAACAGCCAATAACAGCAAACAATAAACTACCATATTCCACCGTCAGTTTTCTACTACAACTCATCACCGCTCAAATTCATTATGCACACCTGCTCTTACCCATTAGTACGTTGACGACACCCATTATAAGCGCATTTGCCCATTTTTTTTTCAATTTTTCACTAATAAATATTAGTTGTTAGCGTTACTTAGTTAGTTACCAAGAGGTAGTGTCTATTATTAGTTCATCATTGTTGATAATTGTACACTTTGTCGTATCCGGCAGTAGACACGGTCGCTTTTGAAGCATGAAAGGAGGGGCACAATTTGATCAAAATGAGTCCACTCTGTGCTGAAGTGCGCGACGTAACCTTCCCTTCAAGAAGCGAGAAAGTTTTGAGTGCAGACCAAATACCACAACTGACGACAGCCTCCAAGTAAATCTGGTTAGAAAATAATAACAATAAATAAAAATTAGGTTGGTTCACAGTGATAGCTGATTTCTGGTAAATGATAGCTATAATCAGTGACAATCGATAAAATACAACTGCGACAGCCTAATCATTCACTGGTTGGAACTTTAACATTTTGTTAAGGCGTCGTCACTTGTGGCGCATAGTCTGCACCCGACACTTTCTCGCTTTTTGAAAAGCAAGGCACATTCGTTTGTATCCCATAGATAATTTGGCTCTGAGACAAGCGCCTGAGATTCAGGCTCTCTTCTTTGGCGCTAAGTCTGCACCTGACACTTTCTCGCTTTTTGAAGGGGAGGGTATGTGTCCCGTGCTGTCGTCGGTATGCTGATCCCTCTTACCTAGAAGGTTTTCAGGTATATATTCCACTGAAAGTCCCGCTTTTCCAGCAACAAGGAAGTGACTCGAAAACCAGCATCGAATAATCGGGCATTCATGACAAGAATCATAGCGCCATTTTGTTTCCATGCAAACTTTATTTAGTGAATGGCAGTCGAGGAGATGATTCAGACGCAACATTCGGTTGGAAATTACCCCGCGCCTTCGAAAACCATATGTAATTCGACGCCCCAGACGAGCTCTCCGACGACGAATCGGCAGCAATTGTTGGTCGTTCAGTGGCGGCGCGGGAAACGCGATCGGAATAAAGATTTGCACATAAACAACTATTAAACAATTACTTATTCCACACAATGCCAGTTAAGGCTTTCGCAGCGAGAACTTCAGCCATTTCCGCCGGCCGCTCGCATTCACATGAGACAACTGACAGCGGCCCACTAGAGCCGAATCGCAACAAAACATACGCTTGGAGCTTCTTACTAACTGCTAGTGGAAGTATTAGGAGCATTATTAGCTGGCCTTATTGTCAAGAGTGAGCCATAGATGATCGAATGAATAGCACATGAACAACATGAACGAGACATAAAACAGCTCATTGGCCAAAAAAACTCGGACGGCATTCAGACCTTTCTCGCTCGGGTTGAATACGGGGCCGTATGTTACCTTTCCCCAGGTTAGGAGAACGAAATAGTACTTTTAATTCATTTATTTTCAACGACACCGTTCCTCTAGTTTCCGACATTATATACATGCAGTTTCTCAGGGAGATTTTCGTTTGGAAGGCGAAGAGAATTCAAAGGGTTTTTGTTCCCCTAACCTAGGAGAAGGATAGGATATGGCCCACGATTCTCTACGTAGTGCAGTCGAATACTACCTACTTATTGGAACTGCACGTTATTGCATAAGCCTCTTTCCCACCCCAAAACCCTACCCACCAACTATTTGAGCCCGAACAGCTCTGTCGTAGTGTGAAAAGAAATTGCTACTCTCTGAGCTACTCCTACTCGGCGCAGGCAATTAGTAGACAATTGGGCATTGCAGAAAGGGACTGCTTCATTGAACCCGTCTCAGACCGACAAAACCTGTTTTACTATTTCACAACATCAAATAGTTTGAGGTTTCTTGATTTCTTTTTGGAACAAGAAGTCAAATTCTTACTTTTAGGATTCGGTCTCCTTCTCGGACGCCGGCACAGAACGCGGCTCCATCGGGCTTTACTGTGTGCACGAAAACCGGGTGATCACCGGTTACCGTGAAACCGTAACCATCACTCTGACGTTGTACGACCACACATCGTTCGATCATACCTTCGCTTGTCGGCTCGCTCACTGAAAAATCGATAGCTATGCTATAACATGTTCCTCATAAAGAATCTTCACGTTCCATCAAAATTTTAGGCCACATGCGTCATGTATCGAGTAAAATACGTGCTCTGGTAAAAGTTATTAGTTTCACCAATCCACTACAACAGTTATATGGAATAATGCTAAAGTTGAATTTTTTTAAAGCATTTTCCCTAGCTAATACTAAGGCGAAGACTTGTGAAGAACTTGTGAAGACAGTACAACTGGGCTCTTAGCCTCAGGGACGGTATTAATAGGCTACTTATAGCTTTTAGCGCATATGTTGTAGTTCTTAGAAACGCTATGAGACTTGGCAAATGACCAAACGCGATCGAGAACTTGAACCAGAAAAACTAGAAGAAGGGGTATGCCCTTCTGGTCGAATACCAACAACAGGCAAACCGTGCACATTTCACGTTTTCCGGTCTCTATAGTGAGCCTTACTAAGCATAACGGCTCTGATTTTTGGCCAACTTAATACAATACTAGGTGGAACACTTCTGAAACCGCAGAGGGTTTCCTTATCCACATGAGATAGTCCTTGAGATACTGTTGTAGCGAATAAGATCATGGGAAAAGAAAAGTATAATAGACGATATCAAACGGAACAAAATGAGAGACGGAGGGGTGGACGGCATGAGGAGACGACGGTGGTTCTTCTTTTCAATGTTTAATTATAGCTGATTCATTCCTGCCTACATTGTTGTAATCAAGCTAAATAATGCCCCCGATAGAGGAACTTATTACATGGTTTTCCGGATATTCCCGTGGGAACGCTCGATTCCCACCCGACCATTCGAATCAACCAAAACACAAAATTGAGAAATGACTTTTTGCGATAAGAAGATCTCCAATGAAATGATTTTATAGTTTTTGAAGTTCACCCCTTCCTTAGACTATTGCGAATTGCGTGGTGCACATGTGTATCACGCGATCTGCAACGGTTGAACTGTTTTAGGGTCCCAACTCACAACACCTTATCAAAATGAATGGTACACTTCAACTGAGGACCTGATTGTTCCTTGAAAAGAAACAAGAGGAAAAGGGGTAATGAAAATAAAAACAAGAAATGTGAACACTGAACGAGTAGAGCTGTGAAGAGTGGTAGAAAAGAAGCTTTGGAAGAAGCTCCAAAAAGAATCAATATTCGATAAACATTGATTGATTTATCATATTAAAAGTGTTAGATAGTAAAGAAGAATTAAAATTTTTAACAAGTCGAGTTGAAATGTTCACTAATAATATTAACTAGTATAAATATTAGCTTAGGTAACACCTCTGTGACCTAATGCTATTGGTAAGTGGTAAATCAGTAAGCAAGGTTTCAGTTTAGAAAGTACCACCTAATCAAAGAACAACCAGCATTTCTTCTCCAACCTCCACACGTTTTCATTTCTCTGCAGTCAACTCGCCAAGAAATTCAGCTAATGAGTGGTCAGTTCCAGAGGTTACTCGTTTGCGCCTGCTTTGCGATTCAAAAAGCAATTACAAGTTTAGGACCAATTGGAATCTTGACCGAGACCGCAAAGCAACCACAATTTTTTTATTTGGAGTAATATTTTAATTATAATTACTTTACTTTTACTTTAATTCCAAATTAACTCACTCGATAATCAATCTTAGTATTTAGAGAGACGAGCTGGCTCTTTGAAAATGTCAAAAAATTAATGAGCATCCAGATTCCACACATTGTTTTGGGCATGTAATCTTTATAGTTGACCAGTACAGGATCTGAGGACCTTTAGTTTAGGAACAACTGTGGTAAGCATTTAGCGGAGCCTAACCATTAACTGAAGCCGCGAAAAAAACTTTGATGGATCTGTGCCTCTCCCGAAATGTTCCTGAAATACAATGTTCATGGAATACCATGAATGCGAAAATCAAAAAATCAACTTGTTCCCCGCCAAGATGGACCCACGAACAAACACCTCGTTCTCCCTCACTGCCCCTTTTCTTGTACTTGCGCCCCGCCGACACTAAAATCGACGCTAAAACCGATTTTGGGATTGGGCGACAACGAGCAAATCGTCGATGAAACAAAGAGCAAAAAACCATTTAGTGCACTGCGCTGAGAACTTGCCAAATCCTCGTCGCGTCGCGACAGCCTGCCCTATCGACGAGTTTTTTCTCGAGGCTCATCGCCATTGCCGTTTATGACGAACAAAAAGGAAAAACTTTGGTTAAAATCTTACTCGATAGCTTACTCATCTCGGCAGTACCTACTCAGATTATTACTTGAGTTACAGAATAAAAAGCCACCTTGTAGGACCTGGCCATACACAAAAGTAAAAGGCATTAAAAATTAAGAAAGTCCATTAAGAGACACTGTGGAGCAGCGCAGAGCTAACTTTACAATGGTTTCATTTCATTTAGCTATTACAAGTGCCTTTATGAAATTCATAAATATTTCGCACAATCTTACAGTAAGCTAGTGACTTTGCAATATAGCAAATATAAAATTTTATATGTAGTTAGTTACAGTTGTTTATAATTAAGTGTGAGGACTAATTTGTCATTCCGCTGGAACCCTTCTCCTTCTGCTAAACAAAACATGAACCTGCTAAAAATCCTACATTACTTACAAAGTGGCCTTCACCACTACGTTGAGAGCGTATCGAAATGGGGAGCTACTTCTGAAGTGGCAGATATTTTTTCCTCATAGCGTTAGCAATTTCCCACTAAGGCCAAATGTTCCCGTCTATTTTTTGGATCTTTCGTTCCTTCCTCGTTTAGGCTTATAATAAGATCCCTCAGACAACTGGCTAAAAAGCCTTTCATCTCTATGGCTAAGATGAAAAATGATTAAGATGCACAAAATGGATTTCCTCTCACTTTTTTCCACGGGATTCTAAATCGATGTGTATAATAGATATGGCCATTCGGCATAACCCAGCTCCGTCAGCCGGTTTAGCTAACGTCCATCCCCGACCGAGGCGCGGCCGACGTCGCGGAAAAACTTTCGCCCAATCTCATAGCGCCTCTTGACGTCACACAGACAGCCGTTTGGCTTGAAGCTGATATGGAAAGAGGGCCCAGTTTAAACCCAACATGTTGCATTAAAACCGAACGTTGGGGACTTTTTGTTTGGAAATGAACTCGATACACACCCACATTGTTTGGGGACAATCAAATCAACGCTCATTATACGCGTTTGAAGCAGGGAACAACACGGGGCGAAAAGTGTGTTCGTCTCGGAAGTTATAGCAAGAAAAACATGGAAAATTTTTGAAATGATTCTCAAAAACGGAATCGGTAGATAATTTGAAATGATGACCGATTGAATAGTGGAACTGACGACTCCGACATGGTTTACGGCGATTCGTCGATTCGGTGGGCTACCGTGCAAGATCTAAGTCAAGGACATCGCAACAATAACATAGAAACGGTGGCTGCTGAGAGCAGCAGCAGTAGTGGATTTCCAATATTCATAACCTTCACCGCTAGTTTACGCATAAAACCCTATTTCATGGCTTCAAATGGTGAGATGATACCCGAAAACTCACTCGAGGACGCGACGAAGCAATGCGAGAAGAGCACGAGACCACAGTGGGGACACTGGCGCCGACAGAATCACTTTGTCAGCCGGAAAAACATAGCCGCCTGTAATGCATACTGCTGCTGGCATCGCTCCCCCTCAAAGCAGTAAGCAAACTTGTACCCAAATCGAAACATTGGAATAATGGATGAGCTGTGTACGTCATCAATTGCTTCAGTCATCCCAAAGAATTGAAGAAAGGAGGGTTATAGAAAAGGAAGATGATGGGATGAAACAGACGCTACAGGTTCGCCTTCAAAATGCGACCGCGGCTTGCTGGGCTACCTGAACCATCGAGGGAAATCTTTCTTTCAAGATAGCACAGATTCCATACCTAGCTTGTAACACCGAAGTCTCCCAGGAAAGGTTTAATAAGATCGAATCGACCAACTAACAGTTCAACTAGGGGCGCGCAACACGTACGGCATAATTGCCACGAAAAACTGCTTCGGGAGAAAGCCACTGAACATCTGCTACGAAACGACTGACCAATCTGTTTGACAGCTGCGACAACGATCACTTATAGATGACACGAACCGGGCGGAAAATCACGAAAAAATAGCGCCACGAGTTTCTCCAGTGCGACTCACCTCGCAGAAGCGACGACGCGAATTACGGCACGCGACTACTCAATTCGTGTTCAATGGAGAGCAGATAATATACCAACGGGACTTTGGCTATTATCTAATCGTCGACAACGTTCATGCTCAATTACTGAGATGTTTTTGATGTACCACAAATGGGGCTCAAGAAATGAGTGAGTACAGCCTTTGATACTTACTAATGCCTACAGATCTATTATTTCTGATTGTTTATTTTTCTTATTTTCTTTTATTATTTATTTCTCTCTCGAACTGCTATCAACAAAAACAGCAGCATTACCTTTTCCACAGGAACAAATCCTATTCCACTTCCATTTCATTATATTTATTATAAGATTGTTCTTTTACTTCGCGTGACCTGTTTGATTGATCTGCTGTAACAATAGCGTAAATAAATAGAAAAATAAATTATTTGTAGAACTTTTACTACTTCACTCAAAAATGACACTATTAGCATCACTCAAAAACCACAAAGGTTAGACGAGTAAGTAAATGAATAAACAGGTAAATTAAAGAATATGGCGCAAGATGGCCCTGAGGGTACTACCAGGGTAAGTATAAAACCCTTGTACATATTTATAGCGGTATTGTGCACAGAGGTTAAATAGCATTTCAAAGCAAATGAAGTGGTCTTAATCAGCAGTGATTAACATCAGACCCGATAAAACTGCTTCTCACCAGAAACTGACTGACTTTTTATGAGGGTTTTCGTAGTTAAAACCGTTCAGGCTTCAATTCCTACAAAAAACGTTCAAAAATTAAATAAACAAGAAGAAGAGGAATAAAAAAAAGAATGAAATATCACTATGGAGCCATTGTGTCATTACTTCATATCACTGCAGCATTCCCTCTTGAATAATATTCAAATAAGTTACGATTCACATAAGAAATATTCATACAAAAAATGTTACCAATTTACAATACAGTGGGAATGTAACTTATTTTTTTAGTAAATATTGTGATACATTCAAAATTATACTAAAAAATTATATTGGTTGACTGGAAACTTGTAGTGCTTTTCAATGAATTTTTTTAAACCTTAGAAAACCTAATTAAATTTAAATTTACAAATCTATCAGAACTACTGGGAAATTTATCGGAAATTCCGGAGAAACTAGAAGCTTTCGGAAATTTCGGAGTTTTCGACAACTGTGGCACAAGGGAAAATAACCTCTTTTAGGCATAGAAAGTAAATGTTTAAGTAAAGGATTTACGACAAATATCAAAGCAGCAATTTGAAGCTTGGGTGGGTTGAGTTGGTGCAATCACCCAATTGAACTCACACCAATTCAAGTACACCATGGATATGCTCTCGCACAGCCGTGATGTACTTTAATTACTTTACCTCCTAATGATGTTCTAGAGTTCGCGGAGCCCCCTACCTTCTAGTAACGAATTTCCTCTGGACAAATACAGCTCATCAGAGTTTCAAAA